CTGCCCTCGCCTGTCCTGGAAGAAATTGCTTCAACTTCTGCTGATTCACTAAACTAATGTCTTTAGAGGCCGAAGAAAGAGTGGTTGATAAGGAGTATTTAGCGCTGCTTGGTGAGCTATACTTTTCTACATTTTTTTAGAATTGAGCAATTGCTAAAATGCTTTGTGATGTGTAGATTTTTTTTGCTTTTTCATGACGTATCTTTTTAGAAAACAAATTGAAGGCTTTAAAGGATCCTAAGAAAGCAACTGCAAAACAGTTTCTCAGTGATATTGCCACTTATAGAGATCAGCAGGTATGAACTATTCTCATAGTTATGAATATATATCTCTTCCAGATTTATGCATTTCTAATATATATTCTTTTTACTATCTTCCGAGTTAAATTGCTTTTTACGTAATTGGGTTTCAGCTTTTCAAGTTAATAACATCTGGGATTCCTGCCCAGTCCGGTTTTGACGACGACTTCGCGGATATAGTTATCACACCAAACTACTTAAGGAGAGTAATAGCTCCTCAAACTTGTGCTATCAATAAATTGGAGCTAGTTCATTTGGTCGAGAGTGATCACGTTCAGGTATCATCTTAGTAAAAATAAAATATAAATTGACGAAATTTGAGAGAAGAAATGCCTTTGTGGCTGTAAAATGCGTAAAATGCATAAAACTCACTTGCAAGGTCAAATCATCGATAAATTTTGTTTCATGAAGAATTTGCTTTCGCTTCGACATTTTATTTCACAAATTCGTCCACCGCCTTCGCTTTATCGCTCATCAAGTTTGCTCATTGTTGAAAATTGAGGTTCATTTTTTGAACAGAATAGGATGTCATGTTTGTTGACCTTAAATTAATGGACATTGGCTATGAGTTCTCGTTGCATCAACTCCTGATTTTTAGAATTAATCTTTCCGGTTTGTATACTACGCGAGTATGTTTGATCGATTTCCAAAGATGCCTTTCTACATTTCGATGCTTTCTTCATCTCAAGCATACAAAGCTCCTCATTTCTTACTGATTAACTGATTTGAGCAGAACTGTTTGAGAACTCAAGATTGGTTGTATCCCATTCAAACAATGCTTGCAATGATTTTCCCATCTTTCGATGTCCTTTATATCCCTTTTTAAAGAAACAACACGAAGCTGCCGTGGAAGAGAACGGTGTCGCAATCTCGAAGACAGAGAAAACCGCTGGTGAAACTCCTATCACGAAGGAAAAAGTCGAGTGATGGCACTACCGCTGAATCTCCCCTTAGTAAGCATCGCCTTTCCCACTAGTTATCCCTGATCTTCTACACATGACATGTATGCTTAGGAAAGCAATGACTTCATTTTCACTGAGCGTAAATTCCTATCCTTCACGGAATCCAATCAAATCTTCGTTATCCGTGAGAGTAGCAGTAGCAATGGTGAGCTTTGCTTTTCTACGCACTCTATCTAGGTTGATAAAATATTATTTTACAATCTTATTAAAGGTGCTTGCACTCCTGTGCATACTTGTTTGATTAATGCTTATGGTCGATTGCACTTCGTTGAGGAGAATAAAGTTGTATGTTTGCCAAAACTTCTAAATGAATCGGTGAGTTCTTAAATTTTTTTTCCGCTCTTATCGTCTTGTATAGTACCGATATCAACTTGCATTTTCAGAATTTGAAAAATGGACATTCGATAGAATTGTCCTGTGCTGACATTTCACCTCTAAAAAGGGATGATTCGCTAGCCATTTTAGCCACATTGTTAGTCATTCTATATTTTCTTTTTGAGAGTTAAATCTATGTAATGGGCTTACAGCTGGGTGGAGCTAAATGAACATTTTTGTCCATGTCGGCATTTTGGCGCGTTATTCCGAGTGTCGTCAACCTTGTATGTGGAGTTAATAAATAAGGTAGTTTTTAAATGTAATGCCTTTTAGAATTCGCAGTATCTCGCAACTTTAATACTCGACAAACAGCTTTTAATTTTCATTACATTACATTTTTCATTTTATCTATTTTGAAAACTATTTCTTCGTTAGAATCCATCATCATTCTTCTTTAGTATAAAAGCGTTTAAATCACAGAATAATGTTCAGGTAGAAGCATCTGCACCAGTTGCCCATTGTTCTTTGCTGGATAGAA